TACTTTTTTTTATAATGTATTTTCAATATTAATTTTTATTAATATAATTTACATTGAATATAATAAAATCATCTGTATTGTATTTGTATAATATTATGTAATATTACAAATATTTTTGTTTAGAACTTAAAATAAAAATAATAAAAATAAAATATTTTACTGTGGAGTCAAAACTGTAGCAATATCTTCTAAAATGATTTGAAATGAGTATGAATTTTTTGATTTAATATTAAATATCTAAAATAAGAAAGTTATAAAAATTAATATTTGAATTACTGTCAATATAACACATTTGTTCCAAATTCAGTTGAAATTAAAAAATCTTTAWAATCAAATTTTGGTATACACTTTATACTTAAAATATTTCTTTAACGTGATTTTTAAAAGGTTTTACATTGAGATTTATCCATTAAAWTATTACGTGTATAAATAAATTGTATCTTTTTATATTTGTTAGAGATGGGCTTGAAATCTGAATACCTGAATTATCCGAATATCCGGATATCCAAATCCGAATTTGAATTAAACTCTTATCCAGATTTCCAAGATTATCCAGATTTATTGATATGCTTTTTATATGACTTGAGACTTACAATTATTTTTAATGTATGATAAAATAATTTATTTTATTTTATGATAATGAAAATTTAACAAGAAATTATTATTTAAGTTTTAAATCACTGGTACTTAATATGCGTTCGAAATTTGGTATACCTATGTCCAAAAATTATGTTATAGAATTAAAATATTATTAGTATATATAAATKAATTTTTAAACAGCATAATCGAGTTGAATAATCCGGATATTCCAGATAATCCGTGAAATTCGGATTTGAATAACCTGAATAATTAGGATTTTTGAAATCTGGATATGCCCAATGATTTTTGTAAACTTTTCAAAATCAAAAACTGTTTAATTTTATTTTTGAAATTAGAAAAGTAAAACAATAAAATTGTCCTAGGCTTGCGTACTGGGTATGCAGGGTATGCAGCTGCATACACTGAAACTTTTTGAGGGGTGAAAACCAAATCTGGAAAATTGAAACATCCAGTTATCAGTTATCAACTACCATGTATTTGCGAAATACATACTTTATGTACTTTGTCATGGTATTTGTTACAATACTTTTTTTAAATTAAACAGTAGATATTTCAATATTTGTGTATTGTGTAAATATATTATCAAAATTTTACAAGTTTAAAATAACTTTCGGGGTACGCCATTGTCAGCCTTCTGCATACTCTGAAAAAGAGGCCTGTGCATGCCTATTCGATTGAATATTGGAAATTTTTAACTTTATTTAAAAAATTTACATGACTTATAGATAATCCTTAGATGTTTCTCTTTTTTAATTTAACTAAAAATGTTGTYAKAGTCATATTTGATAAGTAATTTTAGAACTAAAAGTGTAATATTCTAATTATTAATATATATTGAATTTTTTTAGACCAGATTTGTTGATAGTTTCAATTTTTCTAATTATTTCAACTTAACTTTGTTTTCAAAATTGGTGGATGTCACCAATTACCGAAGTCAGCTGTTCACTATTTTCCAGGTAATACATTAATTAAACAATACTAAATCAATCAACAGTATTGATTTTATAATTTCAGTTATATTAATTATAATATTTTTAATATTGTTTTTGTTTAGATTTGTATACAAATTAATGGTTTTAAATTTCCCCAACAATTGGCTGATGAATGGTTAAAAATAGAAATACAAGATGATAATGACAATATAAAGGCTCATCATATTGAACAAGGTCTTAAATTAGGTTTGTAAAATGATTTTTTTTTTAATTTTGAAAATCTATTGAAACTGTGGTTGAAAAATAGGAATTTTTCTTGGTGATGCCGGCTGGTTCAGTGAATGTGCTCTAGTCTTATCACATACATACAAAATAATTACTACAAAATGGGTGTGTCTTGATCGAAATTTTGAACTGGTCAAAATTATTCAATGTCTAACCAAGTTAAAAAAAATCTTGAATTACAAATTATTTAATTTCAAATAATAGTTGATCTTTTTCTCTAGGTGGTTATTAGTAGTGTCAAACTACCATAATTTTGATGAAGCTAAAATAGTATTACAACATATGCTACACACTATWGCCATCATTGAAAAAATAGAAGAAAGAAAATTGTGTATAGCATATGCCTATGTGGCCGTTTCACAATACTACTATGTATTAATGGAATTTAATGAGGTTTACTATTTTTTTGTGAGCATTTAGTTTAAAAAAAATATTTTTATAATAAATGTGATTATTTAGGCTTGGTCTTGGGCAGTAAAAGCTGTCTATGAACTCCGGGATAAGAATGCTGATATCTTGAAACTTTTGGTTATAAGTCATGCCATAAGGGTTTGTTCTGTTTTGAACAAACTGAGCACAGCAAAAAAATTAATTAATCAATTGCACACTTATGAAAAAGAAATTGATCAGAACATTTATGTTGATATATTATTGAATGAAGCATGCTACTCATTAAAGGCTGATTTAGCAAAAGATAGCATTAACAGTTACTATGTAAGAATTATTTGTGGTAGATTTATGATAAAAGAATACTATTATTGATGTTAGCATTATTACATTTTAGATTGCATTAGATTCTAGAAGAAATTTATTTGGTTATTATAATTTACATACTGCAATTGTTTTTGTTGATTATGCATATGCTCGATATGTTTGCGATTATTCAACAACTGACTTTAATGAAGCTATGTAAGACTAAATTCAATTATTTTTTTTTACTTTTATGTAATGATATAATAAAAAAATTTAAACTTTATGCAACCATCATGGTTGTCTTTAGGCGAAGTATATTACAAGGCATATTTATCATGGAAAAAATTGGTTTACCAAGTGATAATATGTTGTTAGTTAATGCTGGACGAATAAAGGCATTGATACTTGAAGAAAAAGCATTGGACATAATGGACAGAGGTATCGATATTTACATTCATGATGGTATACGAGGTCTGTGCATTTATTTTTTATTTACTAATTAATATAATATCCTCAAAAGGGTTATTGAACAATAGTTAATTGAAGTTTAAACCACTAAATCTATAATTGTGTAGTTGAAAAATGTTATACACATGGTTACTTCCACTGATTATTAGTCAACATTATTTYCATTGTAAGATGGACTTTAATCCCACTAATATTAACACACAAAGGAAAACATTTTTTTAGTATCAGTTTGAATAGAAATAAAACACGAAATTTTGGAATAGTGAGAGATAAAATACCAGATAGAAAAACAAATTTAACCAGAAATTTATCAATTTAACTTTAAGGTCCGATATCTGTTCGACATCTTGACACAGGGAACAGTGGTCACACGTCTCTCTATTTCTAGATGCTAACAATGTTCAAATTGGTAATATTGACACTAGAGTATACAGAAAAACTGTACTTTTATGAACACTTACAGTSTTTTAAAATATAAACTTTGCATTTTATCTGACCAGTCTATAAAAATGTTTTGAGATGGGTAACACTAATCCATAATCTAGAGAATATATATTCATTATAATTTATAAGAAATCAAACATTTTGAAATATATTAATTTGACGAAACGCCATAAGTAACTTTTTAAATTAAAAATTCTTTAAGTCATAAAAATGGCTATATTTAAGGAGGCTATATAAATGGCTATATTTAAGGAGGATCTAAACATTTTATTATGTTATACCTATTGCTTAAAAAAAATATTTTGGATTTCATCAACTTTTTTAGAATTAATCAAATGATAACTACTATATTTAGAAAGTAAACAATTTATTTTGTATATTTATAATAGGTTAAGGACAAAACCAGACAATGGAGAGTATTGCCGCCCCAATACATTTTTTTCTAAATTTAGAATTCCACACTAGCAAATTATTTTTAAATACATTTAACCTGAACGTAAAGAATAATAGCAAGTTTATCTATCTAATGAGTTATAAACAGATTTTCTAGAACAATTATTGTGATTTTTGTAAGGGTTTCAGCTAAGGTGGGTGACAAATGCCACACTTCCCCTATGATGAAAACTGTTTTTCTAGACATATTAACTAATATTCCATGTTCTACTGAATTAAATATTCCTATAATTGGCTCTTTAATTACTCAACACACATTTTCAATAATGTATTTATTGACAAAGAAATTCACTCTACRCAGTAAAATTTTGTGTCATGAACTTCGAACCCKGATTATTAGAGATATATGCGGTCTTGGACGGCTATCTTTAGTTTGTGCATACTTATATTTTCTCTGTGAAAGGAATATGGGTATTGTCTACTTTAAATATTCTCAAATTTTTTTTCTGCTTAAGACTCATGTGTGTTTTAGATCAGTAGTATACCACTAATAACTAAAAATAGAACTATTCAAAATGTTAATTCACATTTTATCATAACAATRTTTWAAAATAATAATTTAAGTACGTTTATTACGTTAACAGTATATTTAGTAGGTACCTTTTTACCTAAAACAAATAATTATATAGATCTGTGGCAAACATTTAAGTAAAAATAGATTTAAATGTATTAACTTTACATACWATTACTATAYAGTCATCCTTGTACAATTTTAGATCCAATGGCTTATACTACTTTGGAAAGTATAATGTATGTCAGCAATTGTGGCCAAATCATCAGAGTGTATTCTATTATAATTTATATTTATTAGTAGATGAGTTTAATTTTTATTGTTTTTTTTTTAAAAAAGACCTTAAGAAAGTATGCACTTTAATCAGATACTTTTTATATATTTTATATAAATTTAAATAGTTAACGTAACATTATTTGGGTAATTTAATTATGATTATAATGGTTTTAAAAATAAAATTACGTTGTTTTAGATTTACAAGCTGATGGAATTAAGCGATTGTTAGAAAGAATGAAGAGGAACATGTTAAATGAAGCTGAAGCCCTTCATTTAAAAGCGTTAGATGTTTCTTTGAAAGCAGTCGGAGTGAAAGCTTTGCTTACAGCAAAGTCATACTGTAATCTAGGAAGACTTTATCAAAGCCAAGAAAAATATGAGGTAATATTTAAATTATTTTTCTCTTTGAATAACTGAATTTTAAATTGTTAATGTTTACAGCAATCTGAAAAAATGCATTTAAAAGCTATTGATATCAAAGAATCAATTTTAGGTAAAGATAATCCAGAAGTGGCTCTATCTTTAGGTCACTTGGCTAGTTTGTACACTTATCAGTTAAAAAAATATGAAGATGCCGAAAAACTTTATTTGCGTTCAAAAACGATATGTAAGTTAAAATAAATCTTATAACTGTATAAGGCTATCAAATGTATCATATTATATAAGGATCAAAATTATTTAATACAGATGAAACTACCTATGGTCGCCAGTACACAGGATTACTGTATGATTTCCAAGGATTGGTAGAAGTTTATCGAGAACTACAAAATACTGAAAAGTTAAATCTATACAATGAAAATATWTTAAGATTTCATGAAACACGTGAAGCTTGGTTACATCAGGTGCACACTGCAGTTGATGAAAACTGCACTAAAGACGATTTAAGTTTGGAAAAGTTTAAATGCATACTGAATGAATGTGCTTGTGACAAGTAATAAATTTATATGTAAAAATAGTTAGAAAAAAAAATGTATATTATGATATCTATTGATATTTAATTATGTGTTAACAAAAATAATATCAATAGTATATTTTTTTCTGAGTGTTCAATTATAATTTTTTTATCATATTAATTTTGCTTGTGCATAACTATTATTTTTAAATTATAATAGAACTATAAAAATTGTATTTATTTATTTATGCTATCAGATAATTGTAAATTAATACTATTATTATTTAATTTGATTATCAAATTAATATATATGTGTTATTACTTAAGAGACGTACACCCTTGTATGTTTTCTGTCTTACAAATGCACAACACAGCAAAAACTGTTTTTGTGTGGAGTATCTTTACTCCCTCTGTATTCAWATTAGAGCTACCTACATTTTACAATCCATATGGAAGATCTTTATCTGTGCTACAGCGTCATTTTTTTTTAATAATATATACAAATAAAGTTATCAGATTGAGAACATAAGTTTTCTTATTTTTTTTTCATTGAATTACTAAAAATTATTGGGTGAGTGTTATCAAAAATAAAAAATACACTGTAGCTTAAATGAAGTTCTTCCATATATTTAATAAAACTTTTGTAATTCTACTATAAGTCAATAAATACAGAAGGAGTTAAGTTATCCTGCGTAAAACAGTTTTTGGTATGTTGTACATTTGTAAGACAGAGACAACTCATAGTCAAAGAACATTTATATAAGGTCTTAATGAGTGATTTTTAATATGGCCCATGACAAGTATATTTATTGATAGTACTACCTGTATTTTCCATATTTATCCTATAATAATATTTTTAAATTATTATATTTATGTTAGTTTTACATACATAAAAATATTCTATATTGTTGAATTTCATTAATGCATACATATTTTATTTTTAATAACATATTTATGTGGTTATTTACAATTTTTCAGAATATAGTGGAAATATTTTTAATTTAGACTAACTTAATTATGTGCAAACATTATCCAGTTTCCATTTGATTAAATATTATCTATAACTAAATTAAAATAATTCAATGTACTTTTAATAAGAAATATAAAGTTTTTAAAAATGTGTGTTTATAATTTTAAAAATCAATTTTTTTTCTTYATTTTGATTATTTTATATAATTTTAATATTAGAAGTTAATAAATTGATATATTTAATTTAATTATTTAAATAAGTAA